GGATCAAGATAGCTGAAGACACGTAGTTTTCACTGCAGCCCCTCCCTCCTTCTCAGCAGACAGAATCACACATTACAAAATCATCCATAAGAATGCAGTATAAAAATTACCTTCCATATGCTACGTTCATGGAGAGTCCACCACCAAGATTCACAGAAGCCTTTAGCTTTTCTTTACCATTTTGGTATCAAAAAGTGATACCTGCCAGAAGTGATATTCTGCCTCTACATGCCATGTTAATCACTGTTCAACATTCTGTTATATGAATAAAATGTAACTATTTAAGCATTCCCCTTTTTTTGGCCATGTGGATTCTACGGATCCTTTGATTGTTGTAGCTAATAAAATAAGCTGAGATAAACATATTCGTACAAACTGCTTTTGTTTTCATCTCTTATTATTTCTGTAAGCACACATTTCCAGGAATGAGTAAAACTACTGGGTCAAAGGACACAAACTTTTTTTTTTTTTGAGACGGAGTCTCACTCTGTCACCAGGCTGAAGGGCAGTGGCATGATCTTGGCTCACTGCAACCTCTGCCTCCTGGGTTCAAGCAATTCTCCTGCCTCAGCCTCCCAAATAGCTGGAATGACAGGCACACACCACCTAGCCCAGCTAATTTTTGTGTCTTTAGTAGAGACGAGGTTTCACTATGTTAGCCAGGATGGTCTCAATCTCTTGACCTCGTAATCAGGCTGTGTCAGCCTCCCAAAGTGTTGGGATTACAGGTGTTAGCCACCACACCTGGCCAGGACATGAACATTTTTAGGGCTCAGGTTAAATCCCTTTCCAGAAAAAATGCAGAAATTTCTACTTCTTCAAGGAATATATAGGTGGATCTGTCTTACTAAATTCTGAACTAACATAATCATAACTTAAAAAATATATATGTATATTTATTATATGTCATGAGTAAAACAGTATCACATTGTTATTTGAATTCTGTGAGTTCTTTATTTGAATTCTTTTAATGTTCTATAAGCCACCCACATTTCCCCTATTTTGAATTACCTGTTACTATTCCTTGCTCATTTGATACTTTGGAGTTTCCATGTTTTAATAATGTGTTTGAGTTCACTGCATATAAAGAATAGTAACCTATTATTGTATCTGTAGCAAATATTTCTAAGTATCACCCTAATTAGTGGTCTGACTTTCAATTGTACCTCTGCCTTTTGCAAAAGGATGGATAGAAGCAAGGACAATGATGCATTAAAGCATATGATGCCTTTAGGGGAAGGAAGGTTTGGGTGGGGGTGAAGTTGCTAGACACTTGTGTAATGAGGCTGATAAAATGGACTGTTAGGAGTTGTGCATGGTTGTCTTAGTCTATTTTTTGCTGCTGTAACAGAATACCTCAGACTGGGTAATTTATAATAAACAGAAATTTATTTGGTTCATGACTTGGGAGACTGGGAAGTCCACGAGCATGGTGCTGGCTCTGGTGAGGGCTTTCTTGCTGTGTTATAATATGGCAGAAGGCATTACATGGAGACGAAGTGCATGTGTGAGACAGAGAAAATTCAGGTCACACTTATACTTTTATCAGGAGAACTTATCCTTTTACTCCTTCTGAAATAACTAACCTACTCCTGAGATAGTGGCATTAATACCTTCATGAAGGTACAGCCGTCATAATCTAATGATCTCTTAAAGGTCCCACCTTTTAAGTGGTGCCACACTGTTAGAATGACAATTAAATTTCAACTTGCATTTTGAAGAAGACATTCAAACTCTAGCAATAGTTTACACTTTGAATTGTTATTAGGATTCATGAATTTATTTTAGGATTCAGAGATGAACGATTGGAGGCTTAAAAAGAAAGGAAGTGATATAATCATATCCATATCTTAGAGATTTAATGGTAGGGAGGAGAATGTGTTTAGAGGTGAGAAGCCCTTCCAAGTCTACTCTCGGACTAAAGAAAGAACCTTCCTATTAGTACCCTGGAATTGACTTAAAGGCTTTAAGTTTTTTAAGCTTAACTTTTAATATTTGTATTTAAAACAAAAATATGGCATGAAGTAGAGTGGGCATATCTTTGTCAAAGGAAACAATAGCTAAAGATGAGTGAATATATTAATAAATTCAAAGAGATTGTGGGGCTGAAATTAAAGAAATACAGTCCCTTCTTTGCAAATATATGCCTATTTGGTGGCTATATTTAGCTAAGCCTTGAAGTCACGTAAAAAAATAAGGGAGAGAAAACTGTGAGAGACAGAGGCTGTTCTAAGAGTGGAAGGTATTCAGTGTTACACAGAGTTTGGAGTCATTTGCAGACAATGGGTAATAACCTTTAGTTTTGGTTATGAATAAATAGCTTATTGGGAATATTAGCCTAGTAACATGCAGTACGGATTGAAAAGAGAAAGAGAATAGAAGCAGAAGACATTTATGAGTTTATTGCTTTGCCAGATTTCCAGAGGACAATTCAGTGATATATACCAACATGCATAACACATCCATTTTTTGATCCAACTTCTTCACTCTTAGGAATTGTGTTTAAAGATGTAAGTGCAAGGATGTTCATTGACAGTTATTTAAAATAGAGAAAATATTTTAAAATCAAACATCCAACAATAATTCATTCACTTTATGACTGTAAAGGCATTTCCCCCAAATCCAATTAGTCATCTGATAGCCTTTGAATTTTAAGTTCTCAACAGTCCCCATAAAATCAAGTGTAGAGCGTAGGATGGACTTTTGTCATAGCAGAACAACTGTGAGCTCTGGATAGGTGTGTGAATTTGGCAAGCCACTTGATATAGTTTGGCTGTGTCCCCACACAAATCTCATCTTGACTTCCCAAGTGTGGTGGGAGGGTCCGGGTGGGAGGTAACTGAATCATGGGGGCAGGTTTTCCCAGGCTGTTCTAGTGATAGTGATAGCGAGTAAGTCTCACAAGATCTAATGGTTTTAAAAATGCTAGTCCCTTCTCACAAGCTCATTCTCTTCTCTTGTCTGCCACCATGTGAGACATAACTTTCACCTTCCGCCATGACTGTGAGGCCTCCCCAGCCACGTGGAACTGTAAGTCCTGTAAACATCTTTCTTTTGTAAATTGCCCAGTCTTGGGAATGTCTTTATCAGCAGCGTGTAAACAGACTAATACACCACTTAACCTCTTTAACTTTGTTTCATCTGTGAAATGGGAATAATGAGATGATCTTTTCTTTGGTTACTGTGGAATTGAACAAAAATAAAAAGCCTTTCTTTACTTAATTTTTGCCTCACCAGATTAGGAATATCAGATAAGGAATATCAGTACATAAAATAGATATTTCTACCTTAATGAAGTAGTAACATACACCCAATCTACTGCCTAAGATGCTAAAATGTTTTTACTTTATAATTAGTCTCCTTGGATAAACCACAGAATCATTTTTCTCCAGTATTAGAAAGCTTTGCAATTTTCATAAGTACATATGCAAATTAAAAGGATCTCACCTCAATTATGAGTACTTAAGATAACATAATTATGTTATTCATGTGACCTACCTTGATTTTACATTCAAATACATAGTGTGTTTTCTAAAAAAGAAGGCCTAACTTCTTTAGATTCATCTAAAACATTTCGCTCATGGAAACAAAATCCTATTTAACATTTTTGTCTTCAGGCAAAGAAATAGGGAATCCTATTTGCCCTTTTTCTGTCCTCATTCATGCTCTAAATATTAGACTCATTAGGGGAACAAATTCACATGCTTGGAAACAAGTAACTACTGTGCTTGGTCATAAATGCTGTTTTATTAACATGAGATTTAATGTTGTTCCTCCAAATTTTATCCCAATATCTAACAAAACTTTTTCTTTTTTTTTCATATAAGACTTAAGGACCATTTCAAGCCTGAAGGCTCAAAATTGGCAATAGTAAAATCACTATACACTCTTTTTTCCTTTCACATTTAATTCTCTCTCTCTCACTTATTTTCCTTTGAAGATAAAAAAAGAACAGATAAAGTCATGTTTTGGGGCAAACAGCATAAGGTGTTGGCAATAAATTGCAAAAATTGGAACATGGATCTTAAGATAAAATTGGTGCCATGGTGAATCTTTAAGAGTTGAAAATAACCTTTCATCAATCTGAGACCTACATCTAAAAAAACAGTGTACATTGAATTATAGACGAGCTAAATTTTTCTAGGTGTATGTGTCTTCAGAGAGGGTCAAGCTGGTGGATGAGCTCAGCTGTGCTGACTCCTTGAGTGTATATGGTGACCCAGGAGGGGCGGTTGGAAATGTGGCTGTGATTCTTGGAGAGGTAATGAATAAGGGAAAAGCTGGAAGAGCAAAATGGCTCACAGTGCCTGATGAGTGCACCACATGCCTGGAAAAAGAGCTAACAGCGTCTCCAAAAAACTTCCGAGTGGTCTCTGGAGGGTGCAACTGAATGAGTGTTCTACAGACTAAGAGAAGACATTAAAACAAAAAACAAAAAAACAAAAAAACAAGTTTAAGGTGGCATAATTTACATATAAAACAATGCACCTTTTGAAAAAATTAAACTTTTTTTGAGATAATTGTATATTCACATGCAGTTGTAAGAAATAAAACAGAAAGATTCTATGTACCATTTACTCAATTTCTCCCAATGGTAAAATAGTACATATTGGAATGTCACAACCATGACATTGCCATTGACACAGTCAAGATAAAGAACAGTTCTATCAACACAAGAATCCCTCATGTAGCCTCTGTACAGACACACACCCCCTTCCTCACTCTCACTATCTCGGACACCTGCCAACCACTGTCCTGTTCTCCATTTCCATAGATTTTTTCATTTCAGGAATGCTTTTTAAATGGAATCATATACTATGTGACACTTTAGGGCAGAGCTTTTCATTTAGCATAATTCCCTGAAAATTAATCTAAGCTGTGGTAGCAACAGTTCATTCTTTTTTATTGCTGAGTAGTTTTTCATGGTAGCAATGCACCACAGTCATCCACTGAAAGACAAAATGTATAAATTTTAAGGTTAGGCTTTTTTATGGGTTTTGACAAATTGAGACACCCACAGAATCATCACCACAATCAATGAAAAGGACATTTACCCAAGATAAATGAAAGTGTATTTCCACATACAAATGACATGGGCACTTATAGCAGTTTGATTCATAATACCTAAATATTAGAAACAATCCAAATATCCAACCACAGTTAAATATATAAACAAATAAATTATGTTATATCTACATGATACAATACTACCAACAGTAAAAAGCAATGGCCCTCTGATACACACAGCATGGATGAATCTCAACAACATCACACTTAGTGAAAAAAAGCAAGGCAGAAAAGAACATATGCTCTGTGCTTTCCATTCACATGGATTTCTGGAAAAGGTCAGACCTATGGTGTTAGAAAGCACGTCAGTGATTGCCTAGGGCTGGGTGAGATGGGGGGCAGGGGTATTGGATGCAAAGGAATACAAGATTTTTTTGTAGCATAAGAAAACATTTTTGGGCGGGGTGCAGTGGCTCACGCCTGTAATCCCAGCACTTTTTATAAGGCCAAAGTCAGAAGTTTGAGATCAGCCTGGCCAAAATGGCAAAACTCTGTCTGTACTTAAATTACAAAAATTAGCCAGGCATGGCGGTAAGCCCTGTAATCCCAACTACTCGGGAGGCTGAGGCACGAGAATCACTTGAACCTGGGAGGCAGTGGTTGCAGTGAGCTGAAATGGTGCCATTGTACTCCAGCCTGGAAACAGGGTGAGACCCTGTGAAAGAAAGAAAAAA